CCGCGCGCCGGCGCCCCAGGCCGTTGTCATTACCTGGCCAGTGTAGTTTTCCCCGAGCCCGGGAGGCCTCGCAGGAGGTAGAGGTGTTTCCTAAAGCTGTGGCGGCGCGGAGGTGTCCCACGCGGGGGCGGCGGGGCCGGCGGCCGAGGTTTCTGCTGCGGCCGCTGCTGCTGGAGGCTCAGCCTCCCAAAGGATTCAAGAAAACTCTCCTCCATGGGGTGGGGGCTGGCTGCGAGAGCCCTGGGTTCCCTTTCCTGAAGTCACGGTCTTGGCCAAAGCTGTTGTTTTTGTGGCTCTCCGGCCATGTGATAGATGGAGGGGCGGGCGCTCGGAGCCCAGCCCCTCCTTCCCACCCGAGCGAACCGCGCTGCGTGGGAGGGGGCGTCCCTACCTGGAAAGCTGGGGACGCTGGGAGACTGGCAGCCTGGAGGACCTGGGTGACGCTCAGCACCCTCCCGACCCCCGCCCCGCTCGCCGACTCCCTCCCTTGCCTCTTCGCTCTGAGGGGAGAGGGCCTGCCCGCTGGGACACTGGGATACTTCGCCGGGCCGCCCGCCATAGAAGTCAGGCCCTCTGCAACAGCCCTCCTCCACCCCACCCCCGACTGGCCTGGACCTTGAAAGTGAAATAATTTTAGTCGACGATTAAAGAACGTGAACAGCATTTTGAATAGTAACAGTAAAGTCCATTGTCTCCCCCAGTTCGTGAGCACCAATATCTGGCTAGTGTCCCAGCGGCTAATACCGCTGTCCCAGGGCCTGTATCATTTTTTTTTTTTAATCCTTCTTTAGCCTGCCAAAAATATTCTTAGAAAGCTTTGTTGCCTCTACATAACTTTAAATCTCATCAGAAAAAGCACCCCTTAAAACTCAGAGTGATCTATCAACGGTAGCATAAACTAGGTCTCATGAGAAGACCTGTACTGCCCAGGTACTTGCTTGGGCTGCCACCTGAGAAGACGCGGCCTCTCTGGAAGGATTTCAGCTCCCCAGGGAAAGGAGCAGTCTCCTGAAATCATTTAGGGAGAAGTATCCAGAATTAAGTTCTGTTTCAGGAACTGGTGAGTGCCAGTTGCTTGATCACCATAGCACTCTCCAATATTTCACACTCAAGGGTGTGATAGAGTGATCCTATTTTTTTAACCAAAATTCAAGATGCACCGACCGAAAGAGACAATATTGAAAATACCATGCTGGAAAAATCCAGGAGATATGGTGGCTTTGGCTGTAACAATTACTGTAAAGTAAATTCATTTTGTTTCTGGCAACTAAGGTATGAAAATTTTGAAAAGGAATTGTGAAGAAAAGCAATTTCTTTCTGAAACAAAATCCAGAGATTTCATAATAAACTTTGGAAAGAAGGGCCCAAGTAGGGAGGGGCTCTGTGCTGAGAATCGCACCTTCCCCTTGGGATTCCCCTGGAGAGGTGGGGGCGGGGAGATGAGCTGCTCTCCCCTGAAAATCCCTTCCCAGAATCAGAGGAAGGATCTTGGCACTGCTGAGAAAACTAGAATTTCAAAAGCTTCTCTAAATATTAGGGGAAAACCATAAGGAACGGAGAACACACATGACTCAAAAATAGTGATGCTTAAATGTAGGTATCCTCTATTTCTATGTATTCTATCATACTTCTTCCAAGAGTGTTTTTGCCCAGCCTCAAATACTACCTTTTTCATTCTAGACTTGCACTGTACAATACAGGAGCCACGAGCCACACAGGGTTATTGAGAACTTGAAATGTGGCTAGTGCAAAGTGAGATTAAAACACACACTGAATTTTGAAGGTTCAGTATGGAAAAAAAAATGTAAAATATCTCAGTAATTTTTATATTGATTATGTGTTGAAATGATAATATGTTGTTGGTATGCTGGGTTAATATAGAATTAAAATTTTTATCGCTTGTTTCTTTTTGCCTTCTTAAGACGGCTACTAGAAAAGTCTAAATTACATATGTGGCTAGTGTATTTCTATTAGTGCTGCATGAGACCTCCATCCACTTCCATCTCCTTCTACAGAGGGGGTCCCAGGCAATGTAGGATAGGGCAGAGAGAGACACACAGCTTTGGGGTCTTGAGGTTTTAGCGTACGGAGTGTCTGTGGCAGATGGAACAACCTAGTAGAGGCTGAGAAATATGAGTGTGTTGCTCAGAAGAGAGTTCTGAACTGGAGACAGAGCTTTGGAAATCCTTGCCCTATGAGAAGAAGATAGAGAAATAGAGCAGACAGCTGAAGAGGGGTCCCTGGAGACACCAGCATTTAAGTACTGTGTCTTTGAAGTGGATCTGCCAAAGGAGAGTATGAGAGAATGATCAGCAAAGCGGACAGAACTCTAAAATAGAAAGAGATGTATGGAGGCCCAGGAGAAAAGAGCTTAAAGGAGGAGAAAATGGGCAGCAGTACCTGGAAGTGACCCTAGACACTTTTCCTTTCTTTCAACCCCCACATTTAACTAGTCAACAAGCTCTGGCTGTTTTTTCTGATTTATTCCTCTAAACTACACTGTTTAAAGTTATCTGTGTATCTGTTTCCCCCCACTAGGCTGTAAGTAGGAACAGTGTCACCCTTGTCACCCTCAAGATCTAACAACACAGCCTCACATTCAGGAGGTACTCAATAATTGTATGTGGACCTGAACTACTTTCTCAATAGATAAGTGTGATTTACTAAATATTAAGAATAAACCGAGATCATGATAATGTCAGCTAAGGAGCAAACAGTAAACATATTGACGGATCTGAGATCCAGCTTGCTATGAGCTGCATTCAGATCTTTACTGGTTCTCTCTAGGTGGCAGCCTCCAGAGATCTGGGCTACACCCAAGTCAGAGGATCCCTGTGATAACACTCCTTAGTGCCTTCATTTCATCCAACCAACTTGTCAGCCTAGTCTAGGGTTCCATTCCATTTCTCACTTATGTGATGACCAGCACAATCTTACTTTGCTGCACTAGAAACCATTACCGTGACAGACGTAAAGAAAACTGTAAGTCATTTTCGGCAAATAAAGAAACATTAAAATGTTTCTCTAATTACTACTGTTTAAAAGACATGGAAAAATAAGGAGGTACATAAGAAGAACTAGTGAAAACCAGGAATTTAACCCTCAAACGTACAGCTCCAAATAACCCAGGATTTGGAATGTTTAATTATAAATCAGCCCCAAGTTTCTACCCCAGAGATGCCAAGATGGCAGAAAGTCTGAGACCAAGATGGAGCTTCCGAAGCAGTCTAACCAAAGACCCTTGAACGCAGCAGAACCAGTTAAAATATGTAGGCAGAAGCTTTCCCAATGCTCTCTAATCCTATTTCTTTTCTTCCCCTATCAAAAATTTTTTGACATTTTTTCCTCAAAAACATAAATTAGTTTTATTCACATACATATTCCTCTTGTTATATATGTGATATAAATGGAAAGGACCAGACGGAAGTCTAGCTGTTTGTGTAGTAGACTCCTGATTGCCCAGAAGCTCCACTTGCACCTGCTGCCACTTTCTGCACAATCTGACCAGATAGGACCTTGTCCTCCTCTCTATTAACACTGCCCCCTCCTGGTTCTTCCCTCATCCTTCCCCTAGAAGCCAGATGGAGGCTGCAGGAAGCCAGAAGAAGTTAGGGAAAGGGGGACAAGGGAAGAGAAGTGATGCAGCATATGTATGTCTATTTGGCTGAACTGACAGGAGAAATGCACAGGAATCTGGTGGCCTGCGAGAGGTCTGGCATGTGGAATGTTCTCTGGGCAAACCTGATTTTGCCTCTGCCTCCCACAATCCATCCCTTATTCTTTTTAGTGCCACACCCCTTCCCCAAGGTGAGGACCGTATCTGCTTTTCCACAGCAACTATTTGCCACTATGCACCAGGGCACTTAAGGACTATAAGCTTTAAAGCCTAGGAGCAAGAGAAAGTAGCCTCAGCCCATTTTTCTAAAGCTCCATTCTGGAAATTAGGGCAAGATAATAAAGACAGGGGCTGGAGAGAGCTGGGGACATTCTGGAACCCAGGCACGAGCCTGGATGAAGGGTCAGCTGTCAGTACAGCATAAAGGTGTTTCAGAACTGGTCACTACCCATGCCATAGTCATGGTTAAATATTTAAAATACTACCCTTGGGTAAGGCATGGCAGTGTGGATTCTAATGTATTCATTAGAAATCCACAAGAATCGCCGGTGAAGACCCCTAAGAAAGCAAGGATTTGCCAGATCCCAGAGTCTCCTCTGCAGCTGTCTATGCCTCACACTAATACTAGTCGTTCTTCCCTGAAATCATCCCTCCTCGGCCAAAAGCAAGTTCAGTTTCACAATGGCTCTAGGAGCCTACAGAGAGAGCAAGACTCTCAAGGAGTTCAAGCAAACACTGAAGACCCTGGTCTCCATCTGGAACAGACCCACCGTCTGGTAGAAAGATGAACTAAAGCTGTACGAAATGAGCATAAGGGGGAAAATAGAGCTATTTTAAATAAAGCCCTCAATTCCCAATAAAGATGGCAGATGGAACACAAATATTTAATTGCCACACCCTCTTTGAAACCCCACTAAAATGTTTTGGGAGGGCGGTTATTTTGTTATTATATTTAAGCATAAATTATAAGAAAAAAGAGAGATTACAGCAACAAAATTTTGAAAACTGGAGAGCAAAGGCCAAGTGTTAATTTGGCAAAAACAAACAAGCAAACAAAACAACCCTGAATTGTAGACAGCTGTGAGTCAACACAATTTACCCTGCATTACACCTAAAATTTCAGGAACTAGAATATTTGGGGCTGGTGGTGAGGCCCTAAAGAGGAAGTTCAGTTGGAATTCTGTTTAAGAAACAAAACAAACAAACAAAAAGAAACAAGCATCCAGAGTCAAGCAATTGCCCACCTCCTAGAGAAGCCCAAAGGTATATTCCCTGGAGATCAAACAGGATACGGTGGAGTGGAGGTAAGATAAGACAGTCCAGGCTCCCTTTCTGAAAACAGAGGGAGTAAGAAAATGCCTACATGTTGGACAGTGAGTAACCACCCCTGGTTTCAATTTTTCAAATATGAATTTTCATATTTGGAGTTTGTTAAATACAACTAAACTAAAACAGAATTTAAAAAGATAGTTACCTGTAGTATGGTGCAAGTCCCACAATCCCTAACCAATATCCTTGAGGTCAGATCTGTTTCAGAATTCAGAAAATGTGTGTTTGTTTGTTTGTCTGTATACAAGATGTGTGTATGTGCATATATATATAACCTTACATTCTGAGTGGGGGCTGGGCAGCCCATGGTAATTAAATACATTAATATTTCTGCAATGAAATGTATGCATGGTCGCACTAGGTAGGATAAATAAGGAGTAAAATTAACCTGTTTGAGTCAAGTTATTTGCTCCCAACTTAATTTTAATGCCAAACATTTAAGAAACAAAACAAAACAAAAACAGCTTTTGATTTTCAGAGCTTTTTGGATTTTAGAATTTTAGAAATGGAATCACACACCATACTTGGATATAAGGCCTACCCTTCCATCCTGATGCGATTTTTAAAATAAACTACTAAAGTTTTCCGTGCCTTATTTTCTTCCATAAAACAAATTAAAGTAGGGCAAACATCTTCAAAATTAGGTAATAAAATGTTCAAGTTGTTACCTCTTTTGTTGAGTTTTTTTATTATTCAGATAACTAATCAAGAACGGTTGGACAGATTATTCAAACCAATTTTGGTATCCCATGAGTATATCGCTGGAAATAATCCTTTGGGTGGGCACTGAGCACTCTTTCTTGATGGTTAGGATCTTCAACAGCACCAGGAAGACCGAAGAATTCAACTACAGACAAAATACAGGCCAAACAATTCCAGACAAACAGTGATCTACATGGAGTCTGCTGTCAGTTTCACAGGCTATTTCCCTATTTATGCCACTCCCCTGGCATCTAGGGCTTTACTCTGTCCCCACAGTTCCCACCCCCTGCCTGGTCCTGACTCGTCTGAGAGGGTCAGTTTCCCTCACAGTGCCTGACCTCCTGTCTCCAAATCCAAACCTGTTCTCTGCCCCATTCCCTGAGGATCCAGCTATTTACACGAGAAAGTTAATAATAAATATACTAATTCATGCAACTGTGTTACCAAGTTTATTGAGTCAATGTGTTGCTCTCCTAGATAATTTCTGTTCTGCCTGGGACATTTCAAAGACAATGCTTTAACCCAAGGAGATATTTAGAGAAAGGGAATTAACCCTTCTAAGAGCCTACTATTTTTCAGGCACTATGTTAAGTACTTTGCACAAGTTGTTTCGCTAATCCTCATTTAATATTCCCATGACGGATTGCTATTATAAATCTGTTTTTTTACAGTGGAGAAATTGAGGCTCTAAGAGGGTGTCTTGTTTAAGGTCAGCCACCCGGCCAGCAATAGCTTAAAGCTGGGAACCCATCCTCCTTCCAGCACTCTGCCCCACCTCCTTCCCCCAGCGACAAGAAAACACCCTGGTGACCAGCAGGAAGAGAATTTTGAAACAGGCTGGGACTTGCGGCTCCTAGAGCCAACCACATTCTCCTGCTATTTCCCTCTATACATTTCTATCTACCCCTTGAGGTCCACTAATCAGTACATTATGCCAGACACAAAACAGGGAGGCATGTTCTCATTATATATTAAAAAAAACCTGTCCATAGCCTCAACGCTCGTAAATCTCCCCCACAAGAAAAGATTAATAATTAGGGGTGACTGCTCTGTAGGAGAAGACCAGAAAGCAGTCTAGCACGAATGTGGAAGATGAATATAAAAATCAAAAGTATCATCCAGAAAGTGTCCTTGACACAAAACATCCAAATTTAGCAGATGGAAAAGACTCCCGAATTGGCCACAGCCAAATATGTCCACGCTGGCTGCACGCAGCCCATTCTGGTGTCCCAGTGGGGCCACGTGTCTCATGGAGTGGGGAGGGAAAACACTCCCTTCCTAACTCAGTCGTAACATAAACTCCATGAGGACAGGACTGCTTTCACTACTAGAGCCTCTGGGTAGAGAACAGTGTCTGAACTGAGGCAACTCAATAAATATTTGTTGACTGAATAAATGAATTTCTTCACCTGCTTTCTCTGGAATTCCTCATGGCCTCTTATCCCTCCTCAGACTACATTTATCCCACATTTTCTAGCCGTCCCTCCAAATCTCAGACTCTTCTCCCAAACCTTTAGTCCTTCTCCTTCTTGCAGCAGAACCAGGTTTAAAAGACACAAAAACATTTTTACTGGGTATATGTGTATTTCTAACTGAGGAATGGAAACACAGAAAACTCTTAGAAATAAGGTTAAAAGGAAGAAAGAAAACATATGGTAAATGCAGAGTGCATTCAATTCTTATCAAATGCAGACACATGTACACTAAAATCATAGCAGCTGTGTTTATTTCATAATTTAGGCATTTGAAAAAAAAGTGCAATGTGTTTATTTTAAAGTTAGCTTGATGTCAAGTTTAAAATATAACGTGAGTCTGTCTACATGTTTTACCTCCTTTCCTAGAGAATTTTTTAATATTTAAATATAACCTATATCCCTAATTCCCAGCTCTCATCACACAACAATCTGGGGCAGAGGGGTGGGGGTGGTAATCCCTCATAAACTCTATGTTGACAGAATGCTCTAAAATATGTTCTAACCAATAAAGTTGGAAATAAATTTGGTAACAAAAACCTAAGCTTTGTTGTATTTCACAAAAAGATCTACATTAAAGGAAATGGAAAATCACATGTGCAATGGCACACAGGGTTGCTATGGTAACAGACTACATTTTTTATATTTACTCCTCAATTGTGGTACATAGAGCTATTACAACCAAATAATGTCAACATCTACTTCCTTCTGATCATACAGAGGTCTCTGGAATAAGCTGTACTTACAGTTCCGGAAATTCTCATTTTTAACCAATCTTCTTCTGTCTTTTCTAGAAATTATAATTAAAAAACATATAATAATGATTAATATTTGGCATTGGGGTTAAGTTTACATCATTTAAATCATGTAGGAACATTCTCAAAACGGCAAAAGAAACCTAATAACCACAAATGTCCATTTAAACATTTAAAATATTGGGGTTGTGTATGAGTGTGTGTGTGTGTGTGTGTGTGTGTGTGTGTGTGTGTGTTTGGGCAGCAATAAGTTCTCCATGGGGAATGAAAAGAAATAAGAAGTTTAGAAAAATGTATTTGGTTTTACTCACTGGGCACACCAAACAAATCTACTTTTCCCACAGCTGTGCTTATTTGAACAGTTAAAAAATACCTACTATCCTGAACTATATAATTTTGTTTCACTAAACCTTGCTTTTACCATATATCTCATAATGTACCCCTAACATTGCCTTTGGGCACATGTAAATCACTATTAACTAATGTCAACTCTCTCCCCACTACGTTATGTAGTGCACTGTCTTTTCCAGAATTTCTATTACCTTTCTAACCTTCCCCATTAGTCTTCCTCCACCTACCTGGAAAATTAACAGCCTGTCAGAATAGCCATGTCTCTCACTATGGACCAACAGAAAACACCAATAATGAGGTGCTTCCAAGTCAAGTAAATACGAATCTAATGTGCAGCTGTCACTCTATCATAACAGGATAAGACTGAGGGCTGGAGAGGAGAAAAGATGTAATGAAGAAAGGGCTCTCCTAAACTGGGCATGTCAGTCATCCACAGTAGGCCCTTATATCAGCCTACACTGTAGCAGAGTTGGGGAATTAAACACAACTTTCTCTTAGGGACAAATTGAAAGAGCATGTATTATCCACCCATCCACATACAGTCCTTCTCTAATTTCATACAAGGGATGTAGCCCTTCATATTACATTTGGTGATCAGGTTTTCTCCAATTGTTTGTTGTTGTTGTGTGTGTGTGTGTTTTAAAGAAATCAGTTAGAGAAGGTCTTCTTTGAAAGCCATAAAAATATACCTCTACTGATGTCTTCCATTGCAAGTAGATCATCTTCAGTGTCTTCCAGTCAAGGGAAACCACACAGTCATTAGGCAACAAAGATTCTGTGAAAATAAAAGGGAACATATTTCATCTCTAATGTCATGCAGACCTTTACCCTAAATGTGAAGATATGCAAACATGTTATTTAAACTGACATAATGGTAAAAGCCTGGTTTGGAAGATATTTCATGGGTGCTAAAGCAGGAGTTACTTTGTCTCAGGGTTTTGTTAGTAAACACTATCCTGACTCAATAAAAATGCTTATGTATACATGTAAAATGCTATGTATCATAGCTCATATTCTCATTAAGTACAAATATATATATCAATAATATATACATATTGTATAATAACATACATATTATAACATACATATTGTATATGTAATAGCTTCAAGTGGTACAGTCACAGGACATAGAATTTAGGTAGTCATCTTTTCGTTCCTGTGACATGTATAAGCAATGCAATTGTAGCAAGTTTAGTCTTCTTGCCAACTGTTCCTTCCCCATAAGAGAGTCCAGGGGAAAAATCCTCACAGACAATTAAGATGGGTCACAAGTAAGTCCAAACACTGATATATACATATCAGCCTTACCAAACCACACAAAATATTTTTCCTATACTCACATATCCCTGGCAACATAGGTAGTTTGGTTTCTTCAGGCCTGTATGTGGCTTTACTATAAAATTCCTCCTAATACTAGGATTCATTTGAGTTCCTTGCCTCATTTACAAGGCCACTGGCCACAGATACATCAGACTTTACTTGTCCAATCTGGCCAAACAAATCAGGGGACAGTTTCCACTTACAGTTTTTTCCTCTCCTTTTTTAAGCACCCACCATATCCAAACGTGAAATTCTTTCCCTATATTTTTCTTTTAAGCCACATTTGTATCAGCACTGCTTATAATTCACTTCCACACTGAAGCCATCCCCCAAAAACCATAACCCCATATTCTCTTCAACAATCCCTTAAGTACTGCCAACCTCACTCATAAAATATTCATAAGCTTGTCATTTATATTTTCTATGTGCAATAATTCTGTTTTGTGTTAGTCTTGTCTCCCCATTTAGAAGGTAAGCTATTTGATGAATGAGGTCTATTTCCTCTAGAAAGCTTTCCAAAGCTTAATTAATGGATGCTTGATCATTATTGTTGATTATGATGGTATTGTGCATTCAAGGGAGGAGGAAGTTTAGAATCTTTTCACACCAGTGCCTTCATGCTTTCTGATGCTGATCTAAGGCAGTGATTGTTAATCTTTTTGAGTCATGTGCTGCCCCCCCCCCGCTCCTCTGCCCCAGAAGCTGATAAAATCTATGAACTGTCTCAGAAAAATGGTCCAGAATGACACAAAAATTTTTGCAAATAATTTTAAAATATGGACCTAGGACTAAGACCCCTGACCTAAAATGACTTCACTTATCATTTAAAATTCCCTATAGCAAATGCAGTTTAATTTTTTTTAATTGGTGTATTTCTTCAGTGCATCTAGCAGGATAGCATATTGTAGCAAACAGTAAGATGTGACTATAGGCAAAGTTTACAAAAATGATAGACATAATGCTAGAACCTCAAGGGCAGGTTTTTAATTGTGATCCCTCGTGCTGAGACTTAGCCAATCTTGGGTCTAGGTTCTGAGGACCAATTCTGTCCAGACCAGCAGAAATTTAGGAGCAAAGTAAAAACCTCTGGAAGATAAGCTGTGAGACGACAACAGGGCCCAGGGACCCGGTAGGTGTAGAAAAGAAAGAATATCAGGAAGATACAAGAGAACTGTGGGGACGGGAGCTGTGACTTCCCAACTCTTACAGTTTCTGTCCCCAAGGAAGGGGACACATTCACCTCTAGGAAATCATTGACACTGCAGCTGATTTACAAGTAAGGAAAAATGGGGTATGTGCTCCATTTCCTGTTTAAGACATGTAGCATCTCAAATATGTTTATTATTTAGAAGAAATCTACTGAGAATGTTACTTAGGATGTCACAAAACCATTTTCATGTGTTTTAATCCCAGGTGGGTTTTTCATTTCCAAAATTTTTTTATCATTTAATCTTCACTCTTCCCCCCTCTTTACTATTCTCATATCTACGAGTCATACTGTGAATCAGAAAGAAAAGGGTCATGTGCCAAATAAGGGAAATGTATAAAATAGATTTAAAAAAAAATGGTAACCCATCTCTATTTGTTACATAATTACTGTTTGACTGCCTCATCCTTTGCTCTTCTCAGTGTCTATTTATATCGAGAGTCCAAGGATTCTAAGTGTTCGAAGACATTTAAGACTGCTGGTCCTCGAGGTAGAGGCAGGCAGGTGATTCTGAAAACCAAGCACCATTTGCCAAGGGTCCTCTACTTCCGCTGCCGAAAAGCATCACGAGATCAATTAACTGCATGAAATCACTAACACAAGGTAGAAACACTTCAAAAAATTACTCATATATGTTAAACTGACTTTTTATTTGGAGCAAATAAACACAGTTTACCCATTGGAACTCCAGGGGATCCAAAAAGCTTCACTAGTTGAAAGGCAAACCCTTGTGATAACTGCAGCTCAAGGGCATCAAAGCCAGTGCTTGTTAAATCTTGGTTATCCTCAGTTTGCAAGAACTGTAACGGCTTAGGTTCTTGCCATATCCTCAGTTTCTCATCAAAACTTTCATTTAAAAGGTGAAGATCAGAAGTGACCCTAAAAGAGTACAAAGGATCAGCTTGGCTACTTAAAATTTCTGAAGAACTAAACCCTATGTCACTTAGTTGGTTATCTACCCTTGTTTGAGATTTGAACGTCAAAAATGACTTCTTGCTTGTAAAAGATACCATCCGAAAGCTAGATGTATATTGTAGCACAAGAGAAGGAATAGGATTTCTGTAAAAATATACAGAGTGTCTATTAAATGTCAAGTAATGAGAATAAGATGGTCTACCAATATTTAGAGGAGGATCTTTGGTAATATCAAAGTAAAACCATGATGGATGATGATTAAAGGTCATAAGTTTCTGTGTATTCTCCTCTTTATTATTTATTTCTGAAATTCTATCTTTTTCTTCTTCCAAAATAATTTTTAGCCCATGGCTTTCTGTTAGCAAGCCACATTCCCCTCTTTCTTTTACACTGATATAGCTCTGTGCCAGTAAGTTAAAGTTTGGTGCCAAATTGAAAATCCTTTTCTCTCTCCTCTTCTTATTCTTTGTGGAGTGTAAGTCACTCTTTGGGATATCCAGTTTAGGCAAGCAGCTTCTAAAGATACTAGTTTCTGTTGCTATGACTGAATCTGTATTCTCAGCTGAGGGTGACAAATCTTCATTTTCTACCAAGAGCTTCTCTTCTACCAATGTTTCTGGACTGCTTCCTGGTACTGAAGTTTCTTCAGAAGTGGAGATCAATGTAATCAATTGTCCTCTGCTGTCTGGAGAGGCCAGCTTTTGCCATCTATCTTTCTTTGGTCTTTGTTCGCATATAAATTTATGAGGTCCCTCAGGCCAGCTCCCCAAACAGGGTTGTCTCTCAGAGCCCAGCTGTAATTCTTCATCAGATAGATTGTTTGAGAAAAATGCCCAATAATTGTTTTTAGTTGCATTTACTCCTTGTTCCTTTCTTAAACCTTCATCTGAGGTTCTGGACCCATACTGATGGCACAGAATTGTTTCATTCTGGAGTCTTTTATCTACCTTCTCTCTCTTCTGCATAAATGAGCAGGGGACATCAGTGGATCTGCCCTGGATGTCTGATGCCGTGGGATGCCTATGTCCAGGATGCTTTCCTACCTTCGTGCCTGAGCAGCCATCACTTGCTACACAGGAAAGATTCTGAGTCATTGTTGGGCAAGTTATAGAGTTTTCATTTGACATCAATGACATATTTTGAAACAAATCATTGTTTTCCTTAGGGAGGTAATTTTTTGGTGTATTGTCCAGCTCAACTACAGATACAACATTTGGAAAACTATCTTCAGGATTTATGCTTTTCCATACTTCATCTTTGTGGCTGTTCACTAAATCTCCTTGTTCATTTCCCAGCCCACCAGTGTAAGTGTACGCCGATTCTCTTTTGGTGTCTTCCAAGTCTTCCTCTTCACTTTGAGATGAGTCCTGATCTCCTGGCGTACGATAACTTAAGGTTTCAAGTGAGTTTTCCTCTATGATTTTACTATGACTGTTCTGCTTTTTATTTCTTTTTCTGCTTCTCTTCTGTTTGGTTTTGCTGAGCCTGTGCCCAGTTTTCTTCAAATCTCTTTCTCTGAAATATAAAAGAATTAAGAATATTTATAACTTGATTATTTGTGTAACCCTAGCAAACTAAAACATTATACTCTTACTGTGCAAAGTCACAAATCATTAGTACAAGAGATTCTAAAGCATTATGTACTTTGTAGTATTTTTAAAAATTACTTTTTAAAAGAAAAACTTTAATTCTCTCAATTAAAAATTAGTAAACTTTGAGAAATTTACAAGTCATTTTCACATACTTGTTTCATAAACCAGTAACTTTATGAAAACCTAATATTTTTCTTGAGAAAATATTATTTATATATGCAAAATATTATATATATAACCTACCAATAAACATCTTCGTTTTCCTAAGTCTTGAATTTTGAAAAGTGTAGCTGGTATAGTCACAAAATGGGACAACTGTAGTAGCTTTAATAGCTAGATTTTCACTAGACATGAAAACTTTGGCAATTAAATTGCTCCATCAAATTACAAAGAATATTTGATGACAAGCAGCAAAGTCCAGTGTTTGCAGATATGCTTCTAATTGCATACCTGGCAGTGGTTCTAAAGGAGAGGTTCTACCACTACTTTGTGAGGTGTTTGTAAATGTGTGAAGGCATTTTTGGTGGTCACAATGACTGGAGATGTGTTACTGGCACTTGGTACTAAGGCCAGGGATGTTTACCACCCTGTAATGCCAGGGACAATTCCACAGTAAAAAATTATCCTACCTAAAAGAATAATAGTGTTCACATTGAGCACACTAAAAGTTCACAGCTCTCCTTAATTGAAGATAATCTTTTGATTCTAACAGAAAAAAGAGGATTTAGAACATTTTCTAATTTATAATCAATCTAAAGGTCTACTTATCTTCTATAAGGTAAAGTTAGAGACATAGTAAAATGCAGTGGGGGGAAGGACAATAGACACAGCTGAGGGAAAAAAAATCCAGGATAGAGAACAGAAAAACAAACAAACAAACATGGAAGCCAAAAGAAATAATGAGGAAAGAATTCAGTTGATTGGCTGGGTGTTGGACAAAGGAACTTGTTCAATATACCCCTGGCCCCTGGCCTGGTTTATTCCATGCCATGCTGTCAGGCAATTTGCAATAGACAGGAGCCCTGAACACCTTGTTCTTTGTCACCTAATTGCTACTGTCCTTGTTTACACATTCCTGGATGTTAGCATAGAAAGAACATTAGGAAATGCTAAATTACTGAGAAGCAGTTGTGATGAGACTTCTATGAAAAGGATGTCAAGTAAAGAATGCAAACTTTGGCAGTAACTCCTCATGGTCAGTTCTAGCTGATTCTAGTGGAAGCTTTAGCGGAAGGCTAAGGTGCAGTAAGTTAATGAAACTCACACTACAAACTAGGATGTTACTCTACAAACAAACTCCACTCTCTTTGCCCAAACATGAACCATCCCATTGCAGGGAAAAGGAGGAAAAGACTGGATGTTGCCCAGAGCAGCGGGGCCGAGCATCATGATGTCTGCCTTGGAAAACTACATCAACTGAACTGTTGCAGTTATAACTTCTAAGGGAAGAATGATTGTGGGAACACTGAAAGGGTTTGACCAGACCATTAATTTGATTTTGGATGAAAGCCATGAACGAGTGTTCAGCTCTTCACAGGGAGCAGAACATGTGGTGCTGGGGTTATACATTGTAAGACGTGACAATGTTGCGGTCACTGGAGAAATTGATGAAGAGACAGATTCTGAGCTTGATTTGGGGAATATTTGAGCAGAACCTCTAAACTCTGTAGCACACTGGGGCGCCTGGGTGGCTCAGTCGGTTAAGCGTCTGCCTTCGGCTCAGGTCATGATCCTGGGGTCCTGGGATCGAGCCCCGCATCGGGCTCCCTGCTCAGTGGGGAACCTGCTTCTCCCTCTTCCTCTGCCTGCTGCTCTGCCTACTTGTGCTCTTACTCTGTCTGTCAAATAAATAAATAAAATCTTTAAAAAAAAACAAACTCTGTAGCACACTGAGGAAAAATTGCATACATTGGACATCTATAAATCTTTGTATAGAAACTGATTATTCTGAGGATGATGTATGGAATTTTTATGAATGTGTAATTGTGGATTTTTGACTCCATATTGATTCATTATAATATGATATATAAATTAAAATATTTCTACATTTCCTTGAAAAAAAAAAGGAGGAAAAGAATGGGTAGAGCTTGTTGTTGCCTTATGTACTGGAGTAAATGGTAATATACTGAGGACTTTAGACTCATGCCAGCACTGGTGATTCTGTGGAGATGAAAGTACTTATGTATAGCTTTAAACAGCTCTCCACAGCACATGGAAAGAGAACCCTAACTGATGGAAATGGGGTTACTAGATACTTATGGTTCATCACAAAAATGCTTATAACTCCCTATGCTATCAGGAATTCTAATGTCCGCAATGTGACTTTGAAAACTGACTTAAAAAAGACAAACTATTCATTGCACACTTGCTATGTATGTACTAACTCACCTAATCTTCACAACAATGATATGCAGGAAGGCAAATGCTAGTCTTATTCCCATCTCCAAAAGGCAACTGAGAAAAAAGAAATTAAAGAATTTGCCTAGCTACAGCCACTGTGGAAAACATAAAAGAGGTTCCTCAAAAAGTTACAGATAGAACTACCATATGATCCAGTAATTCCACTGCTGAGAATACTGAGAATATATCCAAAGGATACGAAAAAACTAACTCAAAAAGGTATCTGCACTCCCATATTCATAGCAGCGTTATTTATAATAACCAAGACAGAAACAACCAGAGTCCATTGAGAGATGAAGAGATAAAGAAGCTGTGGTATATGTATATAATGGAATATTATTTGGCCATTAAAAACAAGGAGATTCTATCATTTCCAACAACATGGATGGACCTTGAAGGCATTATGCCAAGTGAAATAAGTGAGACAGAGAAAGACAAATACTGTATGACCTCACTTACATGTGGAATCTTAAAACAAAACAAAACAAAAAACCAAACTCGTAAAAAAGGAAATCAGAGTTGTGGTTACCAGATGTGGGGTCTTGGTAGGGGAGGAATTAGAGGAAGGGAGTCAAAAGGCACAAACTTCCAGTTATCAGGTAAATAAGTCCTAGGGATGTAATGTACCACATGATGACTATTGTTAACACTGCTGTGTGGTATACAGAGAAGTTGTGAAGACAATAGATCCCAAGAGTTCTCATCACAAAGAGGATTTTCTTTCTTTTTAAAAATTGCATCTACATGACGTGACAAATGTTAACGAAACCTATTGTGATAACCATTTAACAACATACATAAATCAAACCATTATGCTATATGCCTTAAATTTATACAATGATAGATGCCAGTTGTTTCTCAATAGAACTGGAAAAAGAAAAAAGAATTTGCCCAATGTCACATGGCTACTGGCAGGATTCAGACCAAAGCTGACTGTCTCTAAGAGTTCATACTCTTTAGCCATCATGCAAAACTGCCTCTTAATTTAAAAAGAGAATTTTATAAAAACACTTCCCTTCTCTTAACTTCCTTCTCTCCTTCCTTTCATCTTCAAATTGTCACATATACATAAACACAGAGATATTCAGCTGGTAAGGGCTGAGTCCTTCCCATGGAAACAGCAGTTGGGCCTTGACTCCTACTATCACCTAGTAGTGACTTGAGAGTTTTCTCTTGTCCTCTCTCTTTCTGAATCAAAGCAAATAATAAACAACAACAGAAAGTGAGAGGAGGTGGTGTGGAGCAGAACCCATCTCCCTAATCAGCCTTTATGTCAAGGCTCCATATGAGCAATAGGTAGATGGCCTAAAACTTTAGATAGGCAAATGGGCATAAGGGTCTTCTCCTGGAGTTTATTCATTTGTCACAGGGTGGAAGTAGTGAGAAATGATCACATTCTGGATATATTTTAAAGGAAAAACAAGCAAGACTTGAAAATAAATTGGATATAGAGTATAAGAAAAAGATCAACATGAATAAAAGGATTTGGGCCTGAACAATTGAAGGGATGAAGTGGCCATTTACTGAGACATAGAAAGAAGCCTATGAAAGATATGGGCTTGGAGACAGAGTTGCCAAATCAGTTGCCTCAAAGTTCAGTTCAGAGTTTGAACCAATAAGCTAATCTGTCCTTATAGCCGAGGTTAGAAAGTGGAGAAGATGAGGGCTTTGCCAATACTCCTCAAGGGTTCTTTTGTTTTTTGAATGAATTACAATCTGATAGCTACTTAGAGAAAGGGTAGTAGAAACCTGCTAATGATGAAAATTCAGGATGCCTGCAGAGAAGTTAACATGGATCATGAAAGAATGAGGTGTCTTAAAAAATAAACTATCAAAGTCTGGGAGATCAGGCAATTTATTAAGGTAGTTTGCTAAAAGAGTCAGTCAAAGGAGAACCTAAGGATTGGAATTTCAATTGAAAATACAACACAGGGCGCCTGGGTGGCTCAGTCGATTAAGCGACTGCCTTTGGCTCAGGTCATGATCCTGGAGTCCCGGGATCGAGTCCCGCATCGGGCTCCCTGCTCGGCGGGGAGTCTGCTTCTCCCTCTGACCCTCCTCCCTCTCATGCTCTCTGTCTCTCATTCTCTCTCTCAAATAAATAAATAAAATCTTTAAAAAAAAAAAAAAGAAAATACAACACAATGCCAAGAAGTATGAAAATCAAAAGACTGAGTGCACAGGGAAGTGTGCCCACGACTTGGACTAGTTCTGTACCATGAAGCTCTATACAGCTACCATACCTGGTCCAGTATGTGGACCAGGCCTCCTGGAAAGGAAACACAAACCAATAACTGACTTGTGAAGCACCTGGGAGAGAAGAGAGGGGATGCTGGTGGTGATAACTTCCGTTACAATGTGTATGCATGGGAGGTGCTAATCAGTAGATGTATTTATAAAGTGTGGGAGGCTCATCAAACCTGTGCCAAGGCTCATTAAGCTTGATCTAATTTGTGCTGACTCATTTAGGGATGAATGGCACCATTAAAAGAAAAGAAACATCACTACATAAAAGTTAGTCAT